ACTTTCTCAAGCATAGTTTCATCCACAATGAAAGGTGAGGCAACCCTGAATGCATTTGAGATATCATGATTGTCAACCCCGATTGGAATCACTTCCATTTCCACTTCAGCCTCATCAGCCAGTCTACCATCCAACAGTGGTGAATCCAACCGCTGGACATCTTTGGTAAGCGGCACAGCATGATCTCGTTCGGCGACTCTAACGGCTGCAGCACGAGCTAAGGCAGCTAAGTTTCTCTCTAGGTTACGGACACCAGCTTCCCTAGTATACCTTTGAATGACAAGTTTTACCATAGCCTACCATAAAATCAGGAAAGTCAGTATGAGTAAGGGACCTAGTATGAGTAAGGGACATTGTAGGTTTCAAGTACACGTCTCAAATTATATAGCTTTCTACAAATATCAAGTTAGTATTAATAAATGAATTAATCAAAGGAAAGTGCGATGAGGATAACCATAACCAATACAAATAGCTAAAAACCTATTTCAAAAGGTAAATCGGGGATACATTAAAAAGGAGACCACATCCTTAGAGAAAAATAAGTTTATATTTGAAGTAAACTGAGTACTACTTATAAATCAGCGGAATTCACATACAAAAAGTATATAATCAGTCATGGCAAAAGAATGACTGGTGTAATCAATTATATATTATCTCTGATAAACAGATAGTTCGACGCCAATAATAAAGTGAATAAAGCAGTACTCGACTTGATATGATCTATTGCTAGTTTCACTTTCATGGTTTATGGAATACCTCAGGAATTTGAAGGAAATCAAAGCTCAGGCCATGCTGGTCAAGAACTCGTGGAAGTAAATGCCGCATCGCTATTCTAAGTTTCTCCTCAGGTGTGTATCCTGGTAGCTCAATGACTTCCATCCTGTCTAGGAGTGCCGGAGGAATAGGTTGTACTCTATTAGCAGTAGCCACAAAAATAACCTTCGAAAGGTCAAATGGCAAATTTAAATAACTAAAAACTTCAATCAAGGATCACAATCGTAATGTGTTTATTTGCCACTATCACAAACTTCACCAACAATAGATAGTAAAAGGATACTGATCGTTAAAGGTTTTGTTCTGCTCAGGATCAAGGACCTCAAGCAACGCTGAAGCTGGATCACCCCGAACATCAGAACCTGTTTTGTCAATCTCATCCAACAGCATAACTGGATTGCAAACACCTACTCTCTAGAAAAATCAAAAGAGCGTTTCAGTTACCGTCTGAGAAAAATATAACATTAGATCATTTCCATCTCTCGTCCAAGTTTACTGTGGTCATACAAATATAACATTCGAATACTTGCTTAAGATTTCACAAAATTTCAGTCGAAGTCAAACAAAAATGCACCAGGATAAGTATATTAATTTGATGAAGAAGTCACAGGTCGGTTCATAATTTCCACAAGTTAATGCTAATCAATCAAGTGAATGCGGTACTTTTGATGTTCAATTTTGGATTTGTTTTCCTTCCCTGCATCAATTCTAAACCTCAACACACTGACAGCAGATGAGACAAAATGGGATTTCAGTGAGAATGTTTTTTTAATTTTCAACTGCTCTTGTCATGGAATGAAGTCTAACAAAATTGCATAGCTGGAACTTAAGGACTTCTGATTAATTTGACTACAGTACCCATATGTCGTTTGTTGAATGACCACTTCATCTAAAAGCTTAATAAAAAAGAGAGAGGATGGGTATTTCAGGAATAGTCATATTCCTTCCAAAACATGCCACTGCATCTCTTATCTAAATATGCTCACTGATTCATGTTTAAATCTTTTCATCACTAATTTTCCTGTGTCTAAAGATAAGCAACAGAAATGGCAGTTGTAGATCAAATAAAATCATCGATACATCTCCACACAATATGGTTAAAGCCAAACCAGGCATAGACCGACCTCATACAATGTTCCAGCTAAGACACTCTTCTTTCGAGAAATGTAATGCTACAAATCAAACACAGCATAAAGTGAATGTTTTGCAATATGATTGCTCACCTTCAGTCCATCAATCAAACGCCCAGGCATACTCCCAATATATGTACGCCTATGCCCTCTAATGTCAGCTTCATCTTTAACTCCACCTAGGGATATGCGGATGAATTTTCTGCCTAAAGCAGCAGCAATTGATGAAGCTAAAGATGTCTTTCCAACGCCTGGTGGACCAACAAAACACAATACTGGACCTCGTGCATCTGGTTTGAGCTGATATATTTAAGACATACAGTATTCATGTTTGTCAACTACCAGCCAACCACTAGATCAAGAAATTTCAAATAAAAATGGTAATAGGAGCACAACCTTTCGAACAGCTAAATATTCAATTATCCGCTTCTTGACCTTTGTTAGTCCATAGTGATCAATGTCGAGACGCTCTTTTGCAGCCTTTAAGTCCAGTTCCCTTTCTTCACTGGCTGTCTGCCAGGGCAGGTCAGCAAGAAGTTCCAGGTATACACGAGAGCTATTATATCCAGGTTGCTGGGGCTGCATTTTCTTTAGTCTCCTGATAAAAATATTTAATTTGGAAATTAAAAGAAACTCTTATTACCAGCACAGAATCATAGAACGGTAGAACCGAAAGGCATCTAAAGGAACATGCACACAACATACTAATGTCTTATCATGCTCGCAGCAGATCTACCCACTTATGTAGCAAGTGAAAAAATGAATATGCTTTTTGAGCAGCTCATAAGCCTAATTCAGAAAACATTCTAAAACAAAATGAGAGCGCCAGGTAAATCAAACATGGAAATCTTAAAAAGAAAAATGTAAGATACTTGACTAGTTAGCTCCACCGCAATGAAGGACAGTCAGTTGACAATTGACTAACACACGGACAGCTCTGGGGTCAGAAAGCTTTAAAGATTCTTAAAAAGAATCTAAAGAATGTTACTTCTCCTGCGAGTATCTACCGTGGTGGTCAAAAGACAGAAGTACTACCAAAATTCATAACTGAATTTCGATCATCTCTAATATCAAGAACAATGATCTTTGTATAACACATTGGTAATAAATTTAAACCTAGTGTCTAATGAATATATCAAGAACTACAGTCTTTCTATAACACATTGGCAGTAAATTTAAACCTTAATTCTCTCTGAGCATGTTTCCAGATATTTGCTGGCATGCCTGCATCTTGCATCTTCCTCTCCAAAGCAGCCACATCATCCTCCTCATCATCATTATCTCCAAGTTCTTCCTTTATAGCCCTCATCTGGTACATGGTCCCAAAGGCATACACATAAATGCACGCCATCAGGACTTATTAAATGCCATATAATTTAATGAAAAATGAATGAAGGCTTTCTTTGGGATATGGAAATAGAATACTTGGAGAAATTTCCTGGTGCAAGTCATGGATTTAAAATTGGGTTTCCGACAGTATTATGGTAGTAGAATCAGGGCCAAATTTAAGGACCTAATTTAGTACTTAGCCACGTAAAGATTGACCTAGATGATAAACATCCTGGAACAAAGGAAAACATATGTATCTAGCTTGCAAAAATATCGGTCAACAGGCTTGACACACCAACATGTCCCTAAAAGAGTGAAGTAAATATAACAGAAACACTCACATTAGAAAAGAAAATTGCTAAAAAAAGTAGGATCAAGTTATGTGGATTTATAAACAATTACCCTTTTCAATTGGTCATCACAATGACCTGAAAATAGATATGTTAATGAAAAAAAATGGATAGCTCACAAATTCTTAACTATAATCAGATGCACGGTGCCAAATTATTGTAGAATAAAAATCCGCAAGCACGCATGAAAAGAAATTACAAAAAAGGCTCGAAAACATTATTTCAGGTGGGACACTAAAACAGATATGACCTTCGTAGAGGGCAAAAATATCAAAGATGGGAAAAATGAGAAAGCTAAACAGATTTAAGATTTTTGAACGTGCAATTTTATATGTTTGATGCACAGTGACAGCATTGGATCCTTAAGCAGCTCAGGCATTGACAACAAGCAATATTTCAAATGCATGACATGTAAACCAAATTACATGCAGGCAGATGAGCTTTCTCATGTTTCATTCAAACAGAAATCACTAAAACCTCACTTATTAAAAAAAATGTAATAACAAACCTGCTGACGGAGGAGAAACTCTTTTTGTGACTTCGATAATTGTCCCTCAACCTTTTGCGTGATCTTCTCTGCAACACGAATCGACTACACAAGGCAAGCAAAAATAGCATGAAGCATGTTTCACAGGATTCTAAAGTGTACAAACACCATCAGCTGAATCAATATACCTGTAAATGTCTATCAACAAGCTCAGTTGCTTTTGAAAGCCTCACTTTCACATCAACAGAGTCTAACATGCATAATTGCTCTTCAAAGTTAATCTCGAAGCTTGCGACAAAAATATCAGCTAATTTGTGCACAGGAACTGTCTCCAGGAGAACTTTCGTCCTCCCTCCTGTTTTTTGTTTCTGGATACATAAATAACTCAAATAAGAGAAAAGTTCATCATTTTTTTTTCTAAGAAAAATAATTAAAAATGCATGTCTAGTTCAACTAATTGATAACTTCCTCGGTAATGTTTTAGCATCTTCACGCATCCAATCTTTAAAACAAACCTCAAGTGTTACCTGCTCAAGAACAGAAATAAGCTCCATGGCTGTGGCCTTGAATTGTCTGGATAACGCAACAAAATCTGGATCTTGTTCCACTTGATCCATCTCTAATAATATTATAAGATGGTATTGCATCAGCATCTTGATAAACGTTAATTCTGTACAGCCTATCTCACATATGATGCTATGCAAAGTGGTAAAATAAAATTAAAGTGAGGATTTTCAAAATGCAACTACATAGAATTGCCAAAAAAATAAAAAAATATTGATCCAGGAGGATATATACATTCAGTGCTTCCTTTTCCACCCACAACTGTATCAAACTGATGTTATTTTCATGAAGACGACAATTTTGGATCAAACTGAGCATGTAGTTATTCAGTTGTTTCCACATTCTGCTCACATGATTTGGAACCGCTATATCAAAAGGAATATTTAGGTATGAATTTTCTTGCTTTGCTAATGCAAGAACAGAAAAGGATTATGACACATCCTTCAGTACACTAACAACTGACACAGTAACAGCAATATAATATATCTCATTGACTCAAAAAATATGAAATGAGTGCCTACAAAACAGAATTTGTTACATTCAACGCTTTCTAATAGCATTATAATTTCCATAGTGTATCAACACCAGCAGTCATTTCAACAACATCAAACAAATCAATAACAACATCACATAAAAACAATCAACTTCACTCCCTCCAATTCATTTTCTGAAGTACAATTGGGGGAGGAGTGAGGGGGGTGGGGGACTGTAGCATCTTGCTGAAGTCAAATACTGAACCGTTCACAACGACTTCTCTCAGTTGTCTCAAACTATTTCTCCACTACCGCAATCATTAGAAATCCCAACCAAGTTCAACGGAGGTTAGACATTCAGAACTTCCCATCAGATGGTTGAGTGGGATTTGACAAACTACTAAGTTTTACCAAGAAGAGTAATGGTTCAAGTAGATGTTTAATGCCAAAAAAGAGTAAAACAACCAAAGCAAGTTAGCTGGGTGATATGTGTCATCCCCAATTAATGTTCTTACTCAAATAATAGTTCATACCTAGCCTACTGCACCTGAATTATAAGTTTTCTGATGCCAAAAGTTAGAAATACACCAAGGCTAATTAGCAGGATGAACTACATGCACATCCAGTAAATCTTCTCATTCTCCATGGGCATCAAAATATTATCTTGTCTTACTCAGTATATTTAACCACTGGAAACTACAATAGGTTTTTTCCCCCACTTGAGTACAATTATAGAGGATGGAATCAGGTACTTCAAAGAGATTGAATATTCTCTTCGTAAAAAAAGACATCACAATAAAGTCAGGGAGCCAACCAATGGGCATATCATCATGCAAAGCGCGGAGTTGCAAATATTGGCATGTGTACACAATTAGTAACCTTCATCTAACGCGGCTCCTAAGAAAGAATTACAACAAGAAAGAATTTACACTAATTCATACAACTTCCGTTCTTCTAACTCCACTGCAAGGAAAAACTATGAATGAATTATTTTTACATGCATGATTAAAGAAAGCCATCAGAGCATGAGTGATGTTTCACGGTATTTTGTTAGCAGTCCACATTCACCATGTAAATCATTTATATCAACACAAAAAATATGGCAGATGTTTACCAGCTTTTGCCATCTCTAGGGGAGTGATCCGAGCAGTGTAATATGTTCCTCTTGTGCTCAGCTCTTGTACACTAAATCTGCACAAACCTTCAAGAACAACAATGTAGGTAACCCTCCCACTAGGTTTCTCCACTCCTCTTGATAGATGTAAAGCTCGGGCAGCAACTCCTCTGGAGAGTAAGAGTGTAACATAGGTTAACCAAAGAATTTAAGCAATACCAAAGGGTAAACAAATTCCGCTTAACGAATATCACCATACCTATTATGCCAGTGTATGACTTCCTGTTGATTCTTACCACCAAGTTTGTGGGAGTCAGATGTTTCCTCTTGGGTTTTTGAGCTTCGTTCTCCTAAATTAGTTCCCCCACCTTCAAAGACAGTTCCAAAACAACTCATCAGATAATTTAAAATGATCTTCACACTGTTGCTACTAATACTAAAACACTTCTCATGATCTTTTTCATGTCAAGACTGATTTATTTTCAAAACTGATCAATTAGCATACCAAAATTCTATGATATACCAGGTCGAACAATCACTCCCTCAATCAAAGAGTGCAAACACTCATTTTTTTTCTTTTGAAAATGAAAAAAACACGGTCAGGCTCCGAGAACTAGACGCGAGAGCGTGCATCGATTACCTGCAGACGACGTGGAACCAGCCGACGGAGCCTCTACAGCAGCATCACGAACTGGGAGAATGCCAATAATTCCTTTCTCTTCCCTCTGCCATAGCTCTTGTTCAACCAACTTCACACTAGCAGCAAAAAACCATTCACAATAACGTAAGTAATTCTCGTTTCAAATACTAGTAAGTTTTAGATAACAATAACAACAACAACAACAACAAATTTAGCCGGCAACAAGGAAAATTGAGATGAAAAATTGAAGTACCTGCTGGGTGAAGTGCATCGAATACGAATAATCGCACCAGGTAACAATACTTTGTTCCGAAAGGGGAGAATTGCGAGTCGACCCGGTAGCTCCACCGATTCCGCCATAAAAACCGTTTGTATAAAATTCCCTTTCTTTTAGAGAGAGAGAAAACAGAATTGTGTGTGTATATCTGATATTGAGAGAGAAATCAAAATCTGAAAATAAAAAGGGGGAAAAGAACAATTGATCGAACGAGAGGTGAGTTTGGGAGGTTAGGCAAACAATAATCAAAGGCCGACCCAACTACAAATATATATAGATAGATATGAGTAAACTGCAAAAACTACCCCTGTATAATCTCGAAATAGCAAAAACCCCCCTGTGATAAATAAACTAGCAAAAACCTCCCCTGTGAAATTATTTAAATAGCAAAAACCCCCCTATGGAACTATTTGAGGGTTGACTTGATATAAAAAGACACAAATACCCCTGGAGTCTTGCAATTAATAAATTCTTATATTTTATAAATATTTTAATTATTTTATTTAAAAAATAATCAATTTAGTTGTTTACTATTTTTTTTAATTTCTAAACAAACAAATTAAAAAGAATAAATATACATATAATATGTATATATATAAATACATTTTGAGGGACAATTTTGTCATTTCAAGTCTAGAAAATCAGCTAGGGGGGATTCTGCCTTTGACTAAATTTCACAGGGGGGTTTTTGCTAGTTTATTTATCACAGGGGGGTTTTCGCTATTTCGAGATAACACAGGGGTAGTTTTTGCAGTTTACTCAGATAGATATATATATTGTTGTGTATGTATATCAGTATATGTATATATACAGTTTCTCTCTCCTCCTTGTGATCATTCAATGTTTGCCCAAGTGAAGTCCACTTGTTAAGTCTATAATGTCCCGAGTCCTCTCATCTTTTCATTCCGAATATAAATTTATCTTCTTCTTTCCTAATTCGATAAAAGAAAATGCTCTTTACGGTTTAAAAAGTGCTATTTACCGTTCAAAACAAAAAAGTGTTTATCTCTCTAAAACCCCTAAAATTTTTCGAAAAAAATGGACGAACACCTAAGTCGG